AAAAAAAAAAAAAAAAAACACATCTTAGTAAAACCAATACCCTCTCAGCTTCGCATCGAAGCTAATACATTAGATATTTAAATATTTTATGGAAAATTACAAAATGGTAATTAGTACACAAGTTTTATAATTTAGTTACTTTTTAAAATATTACAGTGTACATTTTATTAAAAAAATTCTTGGTTAAGAAATTTTTTCAATATTTGTTAAGGTATAGTTTTAATTATTTAATCAGATTAATATAATTACTATATTTTTCACTAACCTGAATGAGTTTCAAGAATATCAGTTGAAAAAATTTTCCAGTTATGATAAGTTACCTCACGTTTTAAACTTTTTCTATCTTCTAAGTTAACATAAATAATGGCATCCATTAAACTTTCTGACATTCCAACCCAAATTATATAAATGCTTCCAAAAAACCTATTTAGGAACTTAGCTTGAGCTACTTTAAGCTCTGAATCTTCAACTGTCTAAAATATATATTAATTTTTTTAATAAAAACATGTTGTATACATTTGTTAAAACTTATATAACATAAAATTCAATCTTTTAATGAACTACTATGAATATGTATATCCAAAAACATAATTTAAGCTTGGATAGTTTTAAATAACAACTAACAATGTGTGGGAAATATGCACTTTATTTTTTTGAATTACTTATAAAAAAATAATATTATCATTATCTACAAAAAAAAATATTTACCGTAATAGTAGAGCAAATAGTTTTTCCATTATTTTTAAGTAACAAAGACCTATGCCAAATTCCTTGCTGTCCTATAAGGTTCAAAATGGATTTAGATATTGAAAATTGTATTTTTGTATTATTTTCAATTGTTAATTTGCCAAATGAATTATCAAAATCTAAAATTCTAACAAAATTTAAGTAAATTAATAATAATATGAAAATAACTAAATTTTACTTAAAAAGAAAAATCTATGTAATACACCATTATAATACTGTAATATTATTATTTTTTTTTTTGTGTATGTTTCTTTATTTCTTTATCATTATTTCAACCATATTTTTCAATGATACACATTTAAAATCAACAAATGTACTAATTTAAAGATATTACTTTTAAATATGGGAAAATTTCAAGTAAATAGAATTAAGGAAAATACTTCAAACGATTTTCGAAATAAACCAAGTTGTACACAATGTTTTATTAAAAATAATATACCACAAATTTCTCATGAATTAATAGTTTTTTTAATAAATATTCTCTATTTACATTACATTTATACAATTATTTATGTTTTTAATCATTTTTGTAGTTTTAATACAACATAAAATACATAATCACAATGATTATATATCAATAAACTGATATTTGATATTTCAAGTATGTTCTTGAAGTTTAAGCTTTTTTTTCTTTTAGTTTTACCTACATGACGCTCATTGATTATCAGAAATATGATTTTCAGGTTAGTTAGTATTCTGTAGAATAAAATATATTTTGATAAAGAACTAGGATTTATTAAAGAAATAGCTTAATTTAACAAAAGTGAAAAAAAGTGATTAGATTAGTTAGTTAAGTTACTATAATGAGAGGAGCAAGAATAATTTAAAATTCCTATAAAATATTATCAAGCCATTTCAAATAGTTTAACTAAAATTTCGCAATTACATTAGTAACTATTAAAAGTAATAATTTAAAAGATTTATTAAATCATTTTAATGTAAATGAAAAGAGGAAACACGATAATAACATTAATACTTCTCAGATTCATATGATTCAATTCATTCAATTAAATACCGATAAAATTAATAATTTTACATTTCTTTAACTAGTAATATAAAAATGAATTTCAATAATTTAAATATCAATTATTTTCTTAATTTATAATAAAAATATATAGATTTTATAATTACTTATTTCCTAAATTTGTATCAGAACATCTATCATATAAAATTGTATAGTCAACAGGTAATTCTCTGATTTCCCATGACCAGTTTGAGGATTCTTCCAAATTACTTAATGATATAGATATTAAAATAATATCTTCAATGGATGAATGTTGAGAAAATATGACGATGCCATGTATTTGATGTTGAGAAAATCGAGCAACTAATTGAGCCGTATGATTCAAATTTGTGAACACATCTAAATCAATTTTAACATTAAAGTAATTAAAAATAAATTTAAATAAATAAATAATTTTAGAGTATAATATAAATTAAATGAAATTAATTGTATGAAGATTTTAGAATGTAATGGTAATAAGTGGTATTTTTAATTTTTAGATAATCAAAATGAAATATAAAATAGGATACTATTAAAATGCAATATGAGGACAGCTGATGTGAAGATAGATGATGTGGGAGATCATGTCAAGTAGAAGTTTAGGATAATGGTAGCCGACTCCAAGTAGTTGGGATTAACACGAAGAAGAAGAAGATAATCAAAATGAAAATGTTATATCTAAAGAAAGTTTTATAATTATGACAATAATAGAAAAGCAGAGTTCTTAGAACAATCTAAAGATTTAAGAAAGTTAAGAAATGAAAGTTGTTATATATACTCAGGTGTGTACTGGAAAGCAAACAATCCAAAGATAATAAAAATTAAAACCATTTTCTATTAAAAAAAATAGGATTTCAGAAAATTTTTTTACAACTAAATTATTGTAATCCTTAAAATGTAAAAATAGCCAAGAGGTCATTATACTTTAGTCCCGAAAACTTTGTTATGTCTAATAATAATAGTCATTACATAATGTTAAAAAAAAATTCTGCATTTAGCATAGTCAGCCCAGATTATAATAATTCGATTAGCCTACTGAACAATTGCCCTTTTGGGCAGTACACACCTGTGTTTATACAAAGAGTTGTTCATCAATATCAGAATTTCAAAAATAAAAATAAAGTTAACATATGAAAACATTGTTTGAAATTCTTACTGTCTTTCATACTGTTACAGATTAAAAATGGTAGTAGAAATATATACACTATTAATAACTGTATTAACCCCATTTCAACGTTCTAAATATTTAATTTTACTAAAAACATTAATAAGTCATTATTCAGTCTTTAATTAAGATTATTATTCTGGGTAGTTTTAAAAACAATGATACTTTAATTATTTTGAGTAAATTAATTTTATAAATAGTAATATTGAAAAGACAATAATAATAATATTATATAAATAATATTAATTTTAAATTATAACATTTTAAACAATTTGTCGTTACTTAACTAAATCACGACACACGTCAACAGGTTAATGTTATCAATAATTATCTATATCGCACATGATAAATAGGAGTTTTTGATAGTCACTGCACCGTATCGCAAGCTACAAACCCAATCACTCTACATGTGTAAAGAAATGTATTATATTAGCAAATGTTAATATTAATCAGTGATGGAAATTAAGGTTAGAAACATACGGCCTTTGTTTTTTACCAGTGGTAAGTACCAAATATTTGATCCGCAAGTAATTTAATTTTTATTTGTTCTTGGGCTCAGTCCTGAGAACCATTGGTATTTATGTATCTACTTGATGTTGTATGTAGGCGTCGAAATGAATAATAAAACTTAGTTGACTTATTAAATATATAAATAATATTTCAAATTAATATAACATTAACAACTATCAAATAAATAGTTACAAATATTATTTTCATAGACATTTACATATGTATAAAAATTAATGGTGCCACTGTATTTAGTAGAAACTGGACTACTAGACCATAACGAAACATTAGTTATAGAAATCTAGAGATCGATCTCTCATGACTTCTCAAGGGAACGATTTCTGGTAAAAATTTTGAGGAAATCCTTTATCTAATCATGTTATACCACTACACATAATTTTATCTTTAAAAACACTATTTAAAAATTACTTAACCACAACACTAGTCACCACTGCCGCAACTTGTACAGCATCACTACCTTAAAGAAAGACTTACATTTTAATCAGTATAAAGAATGATTCTTAAATACGGAACAGACAACAATTTTAAAAATATAAAATCTAATCAGTGTTTTTTTTTGCAATAATAATAGTTTTTTCTTTAACTGTGTGAAAAAAATTAATTTCTATGATCCATTATGCCTAAAACTGTATTTTTTTTTAATAGAAATCTTATTTATTTTACCATCAAGTTTGATTGAATAAAAAAAAAATATTTGTAGAATATTTCATTTATTTTATTTGATTCTCAGTGTATTACCAGTCTTTTAAATTTAACTTATAATGGAAATGAAAAAATGAGCACTTATTTATACAAGTTACTTATACTTAAACTTGCGTATATTTTTCCCGCCGATTGTCGGTAAATGTAACACAAGTAAAAGGAATCAATAGCTTGACAAGTTTACACTTGTAATTTGCTGGTGCACACTTGTATACTTGTCAATTATTTAGCCAACATTTGATTTTAGGGTGGCTATAGGAAACATATATTTTCTTCCCCATTCATCTATATTTTACAGTATAGTGGGAGTTTAAATATATCTAATTAGTTTACTTCATTTAATGGATAGGTAAAACATGGGGGTAAAAATATTCTGTTTAGTATTGTGTTATAACTATAAGATGTCCTTTGAGATGAAATAGAAAATTGGCCAAGAGTATGAAAAATATTGGAGACATGGATTGAGACAAGTGAAAGGAGTAGAGGGCAAGAGATTTGATCATTTAATAATATGTACATAAAGAAAATATCGAGAATACGACGGATTTTTACCAGAGTACCAAGGTGTATATAAGTTATAATTTATATTATAAGATGTATTAGTAGATTTTTCTACTGCGGTCTTTTTAAAAGATACATATTGAGCAAATTTAAATTTTAATGACTTGATTAAACTAACTTACGAAGGATTTCACATATCCCATATTAGGGATTCTAATGTAGGTCTAACTAAGGCACGATATAAAGGTTTAAAAAATAAATTATGTAACTCATTAATTTATGAATATTATATATCAAAATATTATTGGATAGTGTAATCTTTTACTAATGTTTGTATTTGTAAATTATGAATTGGCATCTAATTATCTGCTTCATTTTGGCAAATAAAAAGTTTCATCAACTTCAAAAACCCTAACTAACAAACAAAATATGCTAAAAATTCTATCATGAGCACTTGATAAATTTAATATGAAAATAAATTCCATGAAAACCAAAAACATGCTCATAAGTAAAATGTACTAAGATCTAAATCTTAATATAAAAATAAATATTACACAATTACAACAGGTTTTACGTTTATTGACCTTTTTTTATTGACATACTTCTAAAAATGATTTTATTATTTAAAAAATTTCAACAAAAATATAAAACGTATAGTCTACTTAAGTATTAAAAAACTCCTATAATTTCAAAAACCAACTTACCATATTTTACTGATAAGACAGTTAAACGTTTTATACTAAAATAATTTAGTTTTATGGTAAAGAAACATTAGTAACCAGTTCTTTTTAAAAAAAAAATAATGTAGCTATTTATAATTTATGTGTTTAGTTGATGTGGTATATTGTGTGGAGATTAAGGATACGGGAATGATAAGTAGTTGAGATCAAGACGAGGGAGAAAAAGAAGTAGCAATCTGTAGTGATTATGAAATAATCTAGAATCTTCGTGACGGAAAGGTAACACAAAATGCATATACGCAAGAAGGTTCTCGAATATTCTACAAGGAAATTTCTGGAATGTCCATGATATAATATATAGCGGCGAGACAATACAGCAGTTAACATAAACATTTAGCAGTTATAATAATTGTAGCACAGTACTCGTAATGTAACATACGCATATAATATAATATGTAAATATATTATGTGTGTATAAAATTAATATTCTGTCATTTCTCAAGTCTGTGTTTTTATTATATTTTATTAATTATAATGAGTATACTACTTAGGGTTTTATCTATAATCAAAATATTTACATATAGTATAGTATAGTAAATATTTGTGTAAAGTAGCATATATTTAATGTCCAAAGTTTAATGATAAAGGATTTGTTTTGGATCACCCACCTATTTGTGTCCTCTGGTGATTTATTATAATTGATCCCCTTCCCAAAATTATAATAAAAATCTTCTTTAGATGCACCTCTGAGTGTGTTCATATATATTCACAAAAGTACAACTAGGGTAGGTTACGAGAAATAAAAGCGATTATTGAATTATAACTAATTCAAATAACAATAACCATGTGCTTAATTTTTGCTCATTAAGTTTATTTTGATTTCATTTTCTTAAAAAATAAAATTTAACTCTCCCATCAAAAAATTGTGGTTGTGTCTACAGTACTTTCAGTGTTAAATACTTGTATAAGGAACTACTGAATATTTATTCAGTAGTTTGATAGTTTAAACATAATAATAATATGATGTGATTTTATGAAATATGTCTGTTTTTATTTTTACTGCAAAAGTTTTATGTAGTCTGAGAGTTTTAATACTACAGTATTGAATCCATATTCATGGTAATATTTGTTACAATGTGTCGACTACTTCTGAGTATTATTGATTTTTCTATATTCTGGCGTTGTAGCATTAGTGTATAGTGATTTTTGTTACCAAATAAATGAATTTGTCTTTAGATTTCTCTACTATGACAAATAAACTTAATAAAATAATAATAAAATGTATGGAATATTTTACTACATGTAGTATTTATAATTTATCTAATATTTTCACTTCACTCACTTTCTACTTAAAATAATGTAAACAGTAAAATTGGTCATGCTTTACTAGGAAAAACTCAATAGAAAGCGCTAGCTGTTCTAGCATACTCAAGTACAATCAGAAAATGATTGAAAATAAGTTTTCGTTATTATATACTTGTCAACATACAAATGTATTACTATCATGAAATGAAAATTTTTGTTGTTTGTTTAATGTTTAAACCTGTATTTTTTGATGATATAATCTTAGATTTCCACATTATGAACTAACGTTAATTGTAGACAATTGGAGCGTGCGTACACAGGAATACTAAAAAATTTAATTAATTGTATTTAAATAAAATGTTAAAATCGCGATTCCGTAATTTCAAGAAGAATTATGTGATTGACTTTGTGTATTTAAAGATTATTCTTTTTGTATAGATTAAAATAAAATACTTTATATTAGTTCTTAAAATGGTAATAGAATATAATAAATTAGAACGAAAGAAGATTTTTAGTCAAAATAATGGTGCTCTTATGCCAGGGTAAGTATATACAAACCACTAAGAGTAGTACATAATGTTATATACAGATCTATAATTAAATATAAGATGTTAAAAAATAATACATATTTTATCTTCGATGCGAAGCTGAGAAGGTATTAATTTATTATAGTAAAATTAACTTTTTCAGCTTAACTTTTGAAAATGTTCCGGAAAGACTAACACTTTTATATATACCTTAAATTAAAGCTAATGTAATATACTTTAATTTGAAAAAAAAAAATTGACCTCTGAACTTGTATACGAGGTGAAATCGGACATCAAAGTTAAAGAAAAACGTACGATTTCCGTGAAAAAATTCTCGATTTTATATTTTATATTATTAAATTTATATTGCTATAACAATCTGGATTTGTCTTCATGGTAAAAATAACTACAGTATTCAAAAATATGCTATTATTGTGTGTAAAATTCTGGGTTTTGTATTTTATGAATACCTGATAAGGGGAGTACAGATTTTCATAAATGTTATATAAATAAAAAATTGATATAGCATAGAAAATTAAACTTATTTAAATTTTTTTGCTTTTTGAAGTCGAGAAAAATAATTTTGACATTTAAACTAGCTTAAATAGCCAATTTTTTCAATTGATGTTAGCGACGTACGGTTACCGAGTCGGTCAAACTTGTGTTTTATGCGCTAAAGGTATAAGGTTCCAACCCACATATAGCAATGCATTTTTTCTTAATTCTTTTCAAGTTAGAATAAATTTTCAACTGCTTTGATTTTTATTCATTTAGATTCAATAACTTCAATAAAGATCAAGGATCCCATCACTGTAATCGCCTTTTGCGAGAAGAAATTTCTTATTCATATTAAAATTATTTTACTATATTTTATGTTTTAGTTTTGATGCTAAGCTGAGAAGATATTTTTTTGTGACTATCATTTATTTTCTCTGCTCTAACTTAACCTACTTTTTTCAACGATACGTCAAATGACTACAATTCGTATTTAGTTGAAGATATTACCATCAAAAATTGAAAAAAAATTCTAATTTATCAATAAAACAGTTACTTATCCCATGTTCTCCATACAGACAATTAAAATCATTAATTTCTAATGTTTTCAAAGTATTTATTGACGAATCAAGTTTGATATTATAATTTGATATGATAAGTTTCAACTACAAAATTAAATCATTTTACTTTGTAATTTAATAAATTTTTTACTCTATTTGTGTGTGCTTATACTAGACTATAATATTGCAAATTTGTTGGTAACATGTTGCTATATAAATCATTTCTAAAAAAAATTATTGTTAATTTAGGAGAAATTAACAATGGATTTTTACAATTATAATCAAATTTTATAGTACGCTCAATTGAGTAAATCTTTTTAACAACTTTGTTTTGATTGGTTCATTTAGTTAAAGCAAATCATTAAAATTAATTAAGTTCTGATTATTTCAATTGTAGAATCCTTTTAAACACCAAAAGTTATTAGGCAATGATATAATAGTAATCATTCTATTTCAGTTATCTATTTCGATATAAATGTAATAAAATATTGAGCTACTCTGATAAATTTACTATAAATAGTAGCTATAAAATTTCCTGACTGCCTATTAATCTTAACGATACAATTTTTTTAATTCTCATAAAATTTTCTATTTAATGATGTCAATTTCAAACTTGCAAATTGAGCTAAAAATTAAGGTAATAAATACATTTTTTTTACCTATAAACTTTCACAAAAATCAACTTTAAAGGATTAAAAAAATAGGTTAAATATGTCATTTTCCTTATTTTTAACATATTAATAATCAAATCAGTAATAATTTGAAAACAAATTTTTATTTTCTTTTAATTATTATNTCAGTAATAATTTGAAAACAAATTTTTATTTTCTTTTAATTATTATTTTATGTGTAATTAGTAATAATATTAAACATTATAAGTGATTAAGAAAATTAGAAGTTATAGAAAAAGTCTAATTGCAGATTTGAAAACAATGCGAAAAGTTGATTTAGAAAAGTATATTTTTGCTTCTGATGAAAGTTCCTTGTAGTCCAGTGCATTTATTTATAGTAACAAACAGTTTTTATTGAAAAATATTGTATTAAGCTCTTTAAATTTTTATACACGTAAAAGTAAAGCAAAATATAACTTCTTTATTATTTTTATAATTTCTCCGTTTAAATTACAATATTAAATATCAATTTCATACTAAATTTAATAATTATAATTAGTATATATT